AAAAAAAAAAAAAAAAAAAAGAACATGTGAGTGCGCTAAACATGAATCGCGTTTCATATTCTCGAAAAGATACCCAACTGTGAGCTAGTCAAACTTGCGCTTCACGTCTTAATATAAAGCACGATTTATGTATTATCATACCTTTGTTTAATTGAACTTCTGGAGGTGCTACGGTCCCGTTCGGAATAATTCTGCCGGGGTTTGTAACCGTTAGATCAACTATATTCGACGGTTAAATAATGATCTAACGGTTTCAAATCTCGACGGAATAGTTTCATAACAGGACCGTAGCATTTACATTAAGTTTAAAAAAATGGAAATTATTATACAAAAGTAGTAATCTGAGTGGTATTATTGTGGATTAGCTTTTTCATTTATTTAATTATTTATTTATTTATTTATTAGTGTTAGTTATGTTAAATGGTTTCTTATACAATAAGTTAGGTTTAGGCCTTCTATGTATCTATATATATGTGTATATGTCTTTGTGAATAATACAGAACATATTTTTCTCACTTTCTTACATGGTATCTGTTGGGAAACACAAAAGCAGCAGAAAACATTAAAAGCAACATGAAATCTCCCATTCCCAGATTCAGATATCAAACAATATTCATGAGATAAAAGAGTGGTTGGCTAGGGTTACATTAAGAGTCTAACATATATAGACTAACCCTACTCTATCCTACGGCCTAGAATTCATCTCAGAGGAATTCAAAATTCGAAAATATACAGCTGCACAATTGAACAGATTTTGTCTTCATGCATGAGTCACTCTCATTTCCTTGTCTGCATGCATGAGTCTCTTTTGAATAAAGATGACTATAATATATATATTCTATCATCCCCCCTCAAGGCAAAGGAGGTGAGAGCTGAAGGAACCTCTTAAACCGACTGAAGGCTTGCTGAGGAATTGGCTTAGTGAATATGTCAGCTATTTGATCAGCTGAGGGAACATGATTGACCATAAGCAGTCCCTTGGAGACTTGATCTCTAACAAAATGCAAATCAATCTCTATATGCTTGGTCCTAGCATGTAGAACTGAATTGCTAGCCAGTGAGATAGTACTCATGTTGTCAATCCACACTGTAGGTGAGCTGTTTAGATGAACATGGAGTTCCTTGAAAAGTGACCTTAGCCAAATAATTTCAGCAGAAATTTGAGCAAGGCTTCTATACTCAGCCTCGGTGCTTGATCTAGAAACAGAAGATTGTTTCTTGGAGCTCCAAGATATAGGATTCTTTCCAAGATACACACAGTTTCCAGAGATAGACTTTCTGTCATCAACATCATTACCCCAGTCTGAATCAGAGAATCCATTGATAAGAATGGATGAGTTCTTGGTGAAATGAACACCATGAGAAGTTGTGCCTGAGAGATACCTCAGAATTCTTTTTACAGCTTTCCAGTGTGTGTCTAAGGGTTGCTGCATGAACTGGCTCACTCTATTGACACTGTAGGAGATATCTGGTCTAGTGATACATGCATACTGAAGAGAACCAACTATACTCCTATAGAGAGATGGGTTGTCCATTGGCTCACCATTGGATTTGGAAAGAGAAGAGCAACTGGCCATAGGAGTGGAGAGAGGCTTGGCATTGTGCATGTTGCACTTCTGAAGTAGATCTCTGATATAGTTGGTTTGAGATAGATGTATGCCTGAGTTGGTTTTGTTAATTTCAATGCCAAGGAAATGATGAACCTCACCAAGATCCTTGAGAGAAAAAGATTGATGAAGCTGAGTGATCATGGACTGAACTTCAAGAGGATTGCTTCCTGTGAGGAGAATATCATCAACATACACTAACAGCCACAGACAATGTGATGATGTCTTTTTAATGTATAGAGAGCTGTCTGACTTGGAGTTTGAGAATCCAAGGGTGTGTAATACTTGCTGAAGTTTGGTAAACCAAGCCCTTGGTGCCTGCCTGAGACCATAAATGGACTTGTGAAGTTTGCACACTAAGGGAGAGGAGCCAGAGAGATCTCAAAACCTGGTGGCTGTGTCATATATAGCTCCTCATTGATTTGACCATGTAGAAAGGCATTATTAATGTCTAGGTGTCTCACTGTCCAGTTGTAGATAAGAGCCAATGAAAGAACCACCCTTATAGTAGTAGGCTTTATGACTGGACTAAAGGTCTCATAAAAATCTATACCAGCTGTTTGGCTATATCCTTTGGCCACAAGTCTAGCCTTGTACCTTGCAATGGTACCATCAGCATGTCTCTTAAGTTTGAAGATCCATTTGCACCCAATGACTGACCTGTGAGTAGGAGCAGGAACAATGGACCAGGTGGTGTTGTGAAGCAAAGCTTGATATTCTGTGATCATAGCCTGCTTCCATTTGGGATGTTCAAGGGCCTCTTTATATGTTGTTGGTTCTGTTTCATCAAGATGAGCCATAAAGGTCCTAGGCTTCAAGGAACCTGTTTTGGACCTTGTAACCAGGTGATGAGCAGGAGGTGCTGCAAAAGAAGGATTAGTAGCATGTGGGGAAGAGTTAATAATGGGGTCAGCATTTGATTCATTCACAATTGGCAAATCAACAAAGAGAGGAATAGTTGAATGAGTTGAATTAGTGGTGTGGCCTGAACTTGTGGATGAAGTAGAAGAGGCCTGATTTGGAGTGGGAGGGGAAGAGGAGTTGGGAGTGTTATGGGAATTAGATGATGGAGGAGCTGTTTGAGGTATATTTGAAGACACTATAGGTGGGGAAGTGTGAATGAAAGAGGGTAAACTATCCTTATCTGGATATGATGATGATGAAGATTTGCAAAAGGGAAACTGAAGTTCATCAAAGACAATATCTCTGGTGACAATAACCTTACCTGATGGAAGAAGAGCCTTGTAGCCCTTATGTTTGGAGCTGTAGCCAAGAAAGGTAGAAGGGAGTGACCTTGGTTGGAGTTTGTGACTGTTATATGGTCTGAGGTTAGGATAGCAAAGGGAGCCAAAAACTTTGAGTGTTTTGTAGTTTGGTGTGTGTCCATATAATTTTTGTAGAGGGGAAATGAAGTTAAGACCTTTTACAGGCAGTCTATTAAGAGTATAGACAGCAGCACTGAATGCATCATCCCAAAACTTAAGTGGAACATGAGAGTGATAAAGAAGGGCAAGTCCCATTTCAACTATGGTTCTGTGTCTCCTCTCAGCTACACCATTTTGAGCTGGGGTATAAGGGCAAGAAAGTCTATGTTGAATGCCAGATTCTGTGAATATTGAGCCAAGATTTCTAAACTCCCCTCCCCAGTCACTTTGCACTGTCTTAATTTTAAGGTTTAACTGAGTTTCAACTAAGTTCTTGAAGTGAATGAAGACCTGTTTGACCTCAGATTTTAATTTCAGAAAGTAAATCCATGTGAACTTAGTATATTGATCCACAAAACAAACATAATACTGTGAACCATTTATGGACTTAAGTGGAGATGGTCCCCAAACATCAGTGTGTATAAGTTCAAGAGGTTGTGTATAAATGGTTTCAGAATCAGAATAAGGTAAAGCATGACTCTTAGATTGAAGGCAAGAACCACAAAGAAAATGTTCATTAGAGGAAACTGAAACATTACAACTTCTCATAACCTTGGAAACAACATCAAGGGAAGCATGACCTAATCTAGAATGCCACAGTTCTAGATTACTGGTTTTATTCAGAGAGGCTACATTTGCTGAAAAGTAACTTGAAGATGTGGTAGTGGAGTGTTCTTGAAGTGGAGAGGTTGAGCAGTTGATATCAAAGCTGTAGAGACCATCCTTAAGAGAACCTTTGAGAAGGACTTGTTGGGTAGCTTGATCCTTGATAAAACAATAAAGAGGGTGAAATTCAAAATACACAGAATTGTCCTTAGCAAATTTAGACACACTTAGAAGATTTTTGGTGATGCTGGGAACAAGAAGCAGGTTTTGCAGAAGAAAAGGTCTTGACAAGTTTGATGGATTAACAATTTTTGAATTGCCAATATGTGAAATCAACAAACCTGAACCATTACCAACATGAAGTTTGTTTGGACCTTGGTATTCTGATGCTATGCTGAGGTTGGACATGTCATTGGTTACATGGTTGGATGTTCCTGAATCAGCAAACCATAGATTGTCTTGGTTTGAATCTTGAGATATCATCATGGCATTCATGTTTTGAGCAGCAGCTGTGTTGGTGAGTTGAGCAAGATTAGCTGTTTGAGGTTGTTGGGGCTGCATGTTTGTAGGTGCTGGATAAGTAGAATCATATCTGTGATAGCATTTATCTGCAGTATGATTGGAGAGCCCACATAGTTGACATGAAGGTCGATTGTTGTTCTTATAGCCTCTACCTCCTCTTCCTCTGAAATTGCCAGATCTTCCTCTACATCTTT